TTTCTTACGTCTTAAAGTTTAAAATAATTATCCGGCAAATTGATGGACTTATCTCGCCTGTGGATATTTATAATATCGACTCAACCGTCGACGAAATCTATCGCGGCCCGACGGCAATTACCCGCGCTTTTGTCCGATCTGAGCAGCGGAATCGACTGCTATGGTATCAGGGAGCGGACCTCGACGAGTCTACCGAGTTTTCCGAGTCCGAGCACGTAGCCCAGGGCCCTCTCGTGGAATATTAGCTTGGTAGCGGATTCGAGCCCGCATAGGGTCGAGCTTGCGAACGACAGACGTGCATACCGTATTAAGCCCGCGGGGACTTTGCCCGACTACATGCACGACGCGTACCGAGCCCACGTAGCTATACAGGGTGTGTATATCGGAGACACTCAAGCGCAATTCCTGCGCGAAGAGCGCGATCGCCAGAATATAACCTCGAAAGAACGACGATTACGTCTGCAGTGCCGAGAGATAGATAGCTCTCGAGCGTTGCTAGAGTTGTTAAAGATTTCGAGCTTTAACAGCTCGAATCGTTATATGAAACAATTTTGTACATTAAATAATTTTGGCATCGTCTATCTGAGAAATTTATTAACAAGTAAACTTTTTTCGAGATCATTGGTGTTAAAATTTGTAAGTTATTCAAAGTAGAAGTCTTCTTTATTTTTTTTTTGTACAAAGTGCGTGATTTTTTTAATACTGTATATATGCGCTTCGGTGGCAAACGAAGGTATGTACAAGTACACGTACGTAAAATTGTCCGCGCGACGCTTCCGCATATCGGTACGCGCTTGGCAAATACTTCGGTATTCATGAATCCTGGTATTCGCCCACGGGATATGTACGCTTGGTCTGCTAGAGGTTCACTCAGTCCAGGCGGCAAACTCTGGACGTTCCCACTCGAGGACCAATTCTTTTTCCGTAATACTAGTTTGTGCAAAGTTCCAAATATATAAATCTAAGATTACAGGAAAAAGTAAAAAAAAAATATATATATACATTTACAAAATTTCTGTGCGAGGAGAGAAAAAAAGGAATGACATTTTAAGCGTCTGTCTTGTTACTTTTCGTATTCGTGATTGTCTGACGGTCGTGTTTTTTTCCCCTCTCGCCATGACAATTCGGCTATGACAATTCCGCGGAAAATATGTAAAGCAAAACGTCGACGATTTGCTCTGCTCTCTTACCTCGTGGCGTTTCGCGCCTTCGTTCTCGTCGGGGGAGATACATCCAGGGATCTCCCCGGTAGGAGACTTACGTACTTCCACGCTGGATTTACGCGCGATATATTTGTTTTAAAGTCCCGGATTCTACATCCGCCGTTCATCCCTTCGGTAGTATGACTTCGCCGTTTTCGTCCCGGCTCTACCATATTCTGCTGTCGTCCTTGTTTCTCATAGATCTGCTGTTCCTCTTCCTCGTCGTCATGTATTTATGAGGGCGGGATGGCAAAAAGAAGGGAACACACGCGTAGGAGTTATGGCCCGAATAAGTGCTCTCGACCTGAAACAGAGGTTCTCAGTGGAAGACGGAAGTGGTATTAGAGTTTTGCAAAAAATGAAGAAAGGAAGAAAAAAAAATAAAATTGAAAGGAAAATGAAAAATGTTCTTTGACATTGAAAAAGGGTGATTGGAAGTAAGAATGGCGTATTATGCATCATTTTAAAATAATATCCTAACTTTTGTTAATTTATTTCAGAAAGATAACAGGCTAGAACGTGTCGTTCGATTTTTTATAATTTAGGATGTCTCGAGATTTTTCATTTAACTGTCGAACGTGATCCCTCGATTCGTGTTCAAAGTTGCATGTGGTTTCGAGAACTCCATCTGCCGAATTAATCGTGTATTTAATCCGTCCGGTTAAATGTTCACGAGGTCATGATAGGACTTCGCGATTGCCTTTGATGTCGATCGTCAGAGTACGAAAACCCGCCATTGTCGCGATTGTTGGCGAAGCTCGTGCCAACGTAGCATAGAGGGGTGGAAAAGGCGCCGCTAAGGTATGGGCAAGGCTTCGCGACAGTTTCGGCGTTCATTAAGCGCGAAGAGACACCGGTGCGCGCGAGATGAGGGGCGCCATTGAAAACCGACTTACACGAGCCATGGCTTCGCTATGTCATTATTTCGAGCAACGAGAAACGTTACGAGAGGAAGAGTCGGGAGATTTATTGCGTTTCGCGTTGCAAGCTCCGCGAAGAATGTATACGGCTGTGGAAAGCAGGCTGGCGTCTCGCGCTCGTACGAGCAAACGGAGTAATATCGACAGTTGAATGGTTGTGAGCGGAAACGCCCCTGCGTCGGGAACGCGTTTTTTGAGGTGTTCGAAGCGGGAGACGTGGCAATGAATTCTGGAATTCGGCAAAACGCGATCTAGTAACTTGTGTGATAAAACAAATTATAGCCTACAATCTATATTTACTTCGATTAATTAACGAGATATTTAAATTTAAATGAAATTGCAAATGTTGATTATGTTGATAAAATTCGTGCGAAGCGATAGAAAAAATAAACCATGACTATTTGTCAGAGAATAAAAAACTATATAAGAGAAAATGCGATAATTCTCAAATATTTTCAGAAATTATACCAGTTTCTTGTATAATCACGTCGAAGACATGCACCTCAAGGAATATCTTTCTTACTACAAAGTGAAGTCGCAAAGAGAAGAAAAATTAAGTAGAAGCGACGTTGCTGGCCATATTGTCGGCATTGGCCAATTACCTTCCTTTTCCGCTGCGCTCTTTCCTTATCACTCGAATTTTCTGTCTAACCGTAGATATAGATGGGAATGGAGGAGATATACGGGGGGAGGAAGGCAGAGGAGGTCGCCAAGGGACAGGGAAATGGATGAGGAATAAAGTTCGCTCGCTTCGCCTCTCGTTTACTTGCCAGTACTTATTCGTTTTGCCCGTCGAGCGTCGTCTCCTCATTCAGCCAAAGTCTAATTAAAGTGCAGCTGCAAGTTAAATTAAAACACGATAATGTTGCCGTGAGAGAGGGAGAGAGGGAGAGGGGGAGAGAGAGAGAGAGAGAGAGAGAGAGAGAGAGAGAAAGGAGACGAGGGGATTTACCTGCTGTCGCATACCCTTTCCTTCTCTTCTTTCTCCGGTGACCGAGCTTAAGCAGTTGCGTTCCAATCGTCCCGCACCATTTACGAGCTTCTCGAAGGAGTTTGGCCGCCGAGTTGTTAAACACTCGACTTTCGGGCGTACCGCTTCGCACGTGCACCCTTGTGTTTCTCTCGTGTAAATAAGTTACGGCTTCGGAAGAAACTAATTGCGCAATATTCATGAATGTTATAGCAGACGTCTTTCAAATGAGAAAAAAGTTTAATCTAAGAAGCTTTGACATTCGAGAAAATAATTCATAAATTTTTATTTCAATGTGTTTATTGCAGATTCACCGCTATTAATTATAAATTAATTCTTTTAATTTCTACTGCAATCTCCAATGGATATTTCTAATAATAGCATGATGACGTTAATGATCTTTAATAATGATAATATTATTCAGTCAAGACGAACAACTTCAGTCATATGATGACTAATGAATACTGTATAAAATTATACAGAATATAATTTCCTACGAGATTCTTTCTTGATTCTAAGAGATATTTTTTGAGGATATATCTAGATTCTCGGTCTTTTCATCAATAATTTGCGAGTTCGTCCAATCGGTTGTAGGGACATCGGACAGCTCGTGTATCACGCCGGGACAAGAAAAATCGTCGAAGGTCGACGACGTTTCGTGGGTGAGGAGGGAAGTAAATCGCTGGCAAGGTGGCAAGGAATGGGGTGCGTCGGAACTGACGGCATTGTGGTCGGAGATAGAGATGGCTATCAGGTCGCGCCGCGCGGTAATTGCCAGGAACTACGGGGGGAAATTAAAGCTGCCCCGGTCTTCCGGCGGTCCATTGTCGGGACTCGCGACACTGTTCCCGGTACCGTTCTATTTATCAGGAACGACCACCGAATGGAGGGGTTTCGGCTGATAGGCTCCGTGTCACTGTGTCACCGGAATCGAAATGCTGCCAGTATTCTGCTTTTTTATAAGCTCTTTAATTTTGTCTTTTATGATCTTACGCAAATACTTAGCACACATTGAAATTTTGTTTATTTTTATATGTGTGCATTTAGAGACTGAATGATAAGATTCGCGACTAGAGATTGTATAGAAAGAAATTTTTATTAATAATTTTGATTTATTTTGTTACATTTCGCACTGATGATGTGACGCTCAGTATCTGTATTTGCTGGTATTACGGTTGAATATACGAGCGATAATTGATATCTTTTGATTTATTTTATACTGCAGATTACCAAATAAGATTATTCTTATCATAAGTTGTTTTATCTAAATTGAAAATGACAAAACAGCGATGTGAGTATATGTGTGTGTGGACATGGGTGTGGTATATATGTATGTATTTACAGAAGGATTACACTGACAGGGAAGTTGCAAAGAAATAATCATATATTTTATCGGATTTATTAAAATATCTTAGGAAACTAGCTACTCAAACAAATATAATAATAATATTAACAACAATTTTAGTATTTGTAAAGCAATTTGTTCTTCATATTCATCACTACTTTATTATTTTCTGAAATCGATGCACAAATGTCTTCATGACTTTTATGATTTGGGTATTTGTATATTTTTAAAGAGAGAAAGTGAGGGAGGAGTCATATCTTTATCCTTATCAAAGAAAAAACTGAAAAAAGACTTTATTTTATATTCGTATATGTAATATGCAATTGCACTTGTGACACCATCTGTTCTTTAGAATAAGCATTGAATAGTTTGCTAGGTTTTTATGATACAATGAGAGAAATGTGGTATTTGTAACTATTTCACGATAAAATAATTATGATTGGATGTGTTTCAATTTTATAGCTACTGCTGTAGTGTTAATAGTAATTATATTTGTAGTTCAATTGAATAATATATAGCTGACACCGAAAATGACTATAAATTATGGTTGTGGTAATTACAACAATTTTTTTCTGCCTTATAGATGCCTTATGTGTGGATTATGTGTGGACAATTAGCTTCATTCGCTGGCAGACATTCGTTTCTTGTGGTGCTAAAATGTAAACCACCCTCGCATTTCTGCGAGATCCAAAGAAGTTGTCCGTTAATTCTTGTACATTTTTCATAAACATCGCAGTAACAATCATGCAATCTTTGATTGCCTTCTATGCATGGTGGATTTATAGGTTGATCGCATTTTCCATTAGTCCTGTCCTGAACACATTCCTGACATGTGCGACTGAAGCATGTACCAGGTGGACAATTATATGGTCCGTGTGCTTGTCCTTCTATGCACTCTAGGTACTGGCAATCGTTCGTTGGATTATTTATTTTTTCCGGCGGCGGAAATGTTCCATTTGGATACTGTATTGAGCAACTTGCGCAACCGGCCTGCCATGGCCAATCACAAACCTGCAGGCGTCTATTGTAATGCAATCTTGACACTGGATCTCCTTTGATCATCAAGGGACATATTTGCCTGAAACCTCGTCCCAGATTACACTTGTAAAACAACACGCAATCATTTTCATGCGGGATGTTGGTTGTGGTGTTCCTCCAATTTGGTTGTGGCAATGGGCATTTTGTAGGAATGTCATCCAAGAAGCCTTCTTCCGAAAAATCCTGATCGGAGTTCACGACGTTCACGGCCGAAGCTGCCAGGAAGGCGATGGCGACGTATATTCCTATACAGAACAAAAATCACATTGTCAAAGTATCAATTGTGGATACGGGCGAATCGTGATTTAACCGACTTTTATTACAATCGAATGAATGCGTCAGATATAAATATAATAAAATTGGATTGTTAAAAATTTCCGACATATAGCGTGTCAATATGTCATTTGATCATTTTATTTTAATGATGATTTTATTATTTTAATATTTTTAACACTTACCCTTCATCGCCTATCCTTTACTTAACCCGGACTAAGAAACGTATCGTTCGTCTTATTAACACCTCTCCGATTCGTTTAAATGTGACTGGTGGAATTCAAGCGGCTTTTATAGCCGATTGAATTTATAGAATATTATAAATCATTATTATAAATTCATATCACGTTATCACGAAACACAAGGACAGATTTTATCTATCGAAGATATACTTTCCTCGAAAGGAAGATCATTAGTCATATTATTTCGCAGAAAAATTTTTATGTCAGAGTACATTTCCTGTTTTTAGGCCACGAATATTGAACAATCTGCAATTATAACTTAATCACAAGTCGATAATTTATGAACTAACACAAAAAACTTGAATTAAATTAAACATTATATCATACTGTCTTTATCATGTAATTTGATTTCAATCAAATATGATTTATATTTATTATTGATAAAAGATATGTAGTAAAAAAATTAATAAGACATCACAAGGTTAACCTTGAATATGATTTTAGATAACAATCGTAAAACGTTTTATCATTAAAGCTTTCTATGTTAATGTTAGAATTTTTAATTGCTGGGCGTTTGAAGTCGTAAAAATGATGAAATTACATAACATTGAAGTATTTTATCTATTTAACAGAGTTTTATGTTTAAGGAAGACAATGTTAAGATCTGTATAATTCATTTTTCCGATTAAAAGATTATTTGAATTTTAATTTAGAAATAAAGTAAAAATATTCTCATTAATTATAATGATATTAAGCAAGAAAATTAAAATAAGTTTCTTTGATAATATATTACATCTTAATTTAATTTGATTGCTGCAACTTGCGCATACATAGATCTTGAATTTGATATATAATAACTTTTTATTACCTAAATTTTGAAGTTTTGCGTAAAAGATTTCATTTGATTCTTTGCTCTTGATATTATTAAAGTACACAATTGTCATTTATGGTACACATAAAACAAAATAAAAAATTAATTTTAAAAATGTGATATCATATAAGTGGCTTAAGATGCATTGCGCTTGAGCGAATTTGATAATTAAGATAGTTAATCTATATTTTCGCGGTCTTTTCTATGTGATTATCTTTTATGTCGAAGTTATTCATGAACATTTTAAGTTAATTGTTGCTGATTATAGAGGTAAAATATATTAATACAAGTGGTCTCTTTCTCTCTGTCTCTCTCTCGTGTGAGAATATCGAACGTACAAATGATTTTATCACAGTACTCTAAGAAAGTGTTACATGTAAGCTTAGTCACAAAAACATGAATAAGAGCTCTTCTTTCACTCAACGTACTTATCATTGAAATTGACACTGAGGTATCGTTTATATCGCATAATCAGTATTTGCCTTCGTGTAAGGTCCAGTTCATCTGATAAAATATACATTAAATATATACGACAATGACGATCGTGTACATTTCGAGCCATTATGATAATCGACAAAAATATAAAAGGACATTATTAGTATTTCTCTTATCTAGATTTTTTTTTAAAAACTGACGTATATCTTCTTGCATGTGACAAAGTGCATATGATGAAATAAGACATTATGTGTAAAAAATACTTCTAATTTATTAGATTAGTTGCGAGCAAAGATCGATAAAAATACTGTACAATTAACATGACAAAAAAATTTATCTTAAGAAAAAAATCTCTTTAAACTGTATTTTAAAAATTAGAATCTGTTTTTTGTTGTACACTTATAAAAATGTTGGTGTGAATTTTACACCATGCGGTATCTATACATATTTCTCTTACTGTGTTGGTGTTAATATTAATACTGTAGGTTTTAAACCCACACCATGTTAGTATTAATACAATATTAACATGATAAGAATTATATAAACACTTTATAGTGTTAAATCCACACTGATAGAATTTTTTAGAGTGTACGATTTAAAGTCTGCCTGTATCTACGTATCATTTAGATGTTTTCATTATTATTGTTCCATATTGGTTGCATATTTAAAAACACCTAATTTCCGCATTTGGATAGTATATCCATATTTTGATAATATCGATCTTTTGAACAAAAAGTTGTGCAATTTATTTTATAAGAAAAATATCATAAATCTAGTAATTTTTTATCTCGTTCACTATCATGAATTCTCGCGTATGCTACATGGAGAAAATTTTATATTTAAAATTACTATAATATGTGGTAGTAGCTGCGGTCTTCATGTAAATTATAAGTTTAAATGCTATAGTTATTTTTTTAAAAACAATAATACAACGTAATTTTTACACTTTTTCATAGTAAAAATTTTGTATTACAAAATCAAATCTTGTTGAATGAAAGTTAGTATTGTAAAGATAAGTAAAAAATATATACCTAGCAAATTTTGTTTGCGTTCCATAGTAAAAATTAACTGTTTTCATGTTAGAATATGGCTTAACAAAATAATTACTTTTTATTTATGTGATAAAAATTAGTATTATCATAGTAAAAGTTAAGTCGGAATCATGTTGTGAGAGTCCATACAAGACATGGTATAAAGTATAATTTAAAATTGTATTAAAACTTAATATAAAATTTTCTTCGTGTATATCGCTTCTCCATAACATTTTGTTGTTACTACGTACACGTTTATTTTGTCCCGTATTAGTGTAACTAACAAATGACCCGCGTATCTCCGAGTTCTCCGTGTGTAGGCAGGATCGCTCAAGATAGACATGTACGGGTGAAGTACATTAATCAAACAGTATGATACGCGATCCTTAACCCTTTCTTGCCCTTCCATCCCTTCGTCATTCTGTTGCAAGTTCGCGTTACGGTCGAAACAAATTCATGGCTAGGGCTGCTGCTGAGCATGGAGTCATCTATCCATTTTTCGCTATTCTTTGCTTGCGATAACTTATAAATTCTATATTTTTACTAACATCCATCTTGAATCGATAGTGTAGTTTAAAGTTTTTGTTGTTAATTGATCAATAGCAACTTAAATTGTGTGAGAAAAAGCAAACGGTCTTATTGTACTGAAATTAAAAAAAAAACCCATGGTACCGAAAAATAAAAAAGGAAAGTTAATGCTTCAATATGTTTAAAGTTTGGTTTCTTTTCGGAAATAGGCACATCGCATTATGCTGGAAAGTAAATCGATCGATTCGTAGCAGTTTGCCGGTACGGCAGATAACGCGCATGCCACGCCACATCAGTATCGAGGATGTTTGCGTATACCTCGTCTTGATTCATTATTCCACCTTCATGAATATATCGCGCTATCGTCTTCCGCGTTCACATGTAGCTCCGTTTTCAATTTTCTCTTCGTGAACCACTTCTCCTATGAGCATGACGATACTTACACTCGCATTCATAGAGATTCGTACCTATTTATACATGTATATGTGCATCGCCATATGAGTACAGTATGTATTATATGTATATAATTTATGTATAGAATGTCCCAAAATTCGCGACTCAAAATATTTAAAAAATAGTAAGATAGTTTTTGAAAAATTAAGTAAATAAATTATTTGTAAATTTTAAGCAATAGTTTCTGAGATATATAAAGGTTTAAATATGGCCAATTACATACTACGTGTAGATAGTAATCAGTGAATATCAATGAACATGCTGAACCACCATCAGCTCAGTACCACTCACTAATACTATCACACGTGCAATTTATGGACAGATAACTATCTAAACGTAGTCTGTAATTGGTCATATTTAAACCATTATTATCTCAAAAATTATTGCATAAATAAAAATTTATAAATAACTTTTTTACTTAATTTTTCAAGAACTTGCTATATTTTGAATCGTCCTATATATACAAGATGGTCCATTTCACTTGAGATTGTTCCACTTTTACCTGAAACATTTTTTTCTATCATCAAAAACAAGAGATATTCAAGGTTTTCAAGTTAAGTGGACTATCTTGTACGTACATTTTTTGTAAATATATATATATATATATAGTATACATAATATGTGTGTGTATATGTATATACAAACATACACCCATACTCACATATGCACATACTCATACTAGTCGCACGTATGTTCGCACGCATAGCTCGCGAATGTGTATTATGCACGTCAACGGAGAGCGCATCGAGGGGAAGCAGATCGTATATATGCATTTCTACATACATAGAGACGTATATATACACGCATACATATATGTAGTATATACACACGTATATATTCATATATGTATACACACATATATGCATTATATAGATATATACATATATATGAATCCAGATATATAAATGCAAAAGGCATATATATATATATATATAATATATATACTCCGAGCCGCTTGGTATATACAGGACTTGTACATAGCAGAGAGCATAGGCAGGCTGGTTGCGGATAATTCAGGCAATCAGCGTAATGTTGCGGCGGTGAGGACCCTCCAGCCCTCACTACGTATATAATACGGTACCCACCTACCCGTCCCGGACCAAACGGCGCGGCAGCAGCGGTGGCAAGCTTCTAGATACGTAACTGCGGACGTCGAGTATATACGCGCCCGAGCCGCGGATCCATCGGCCGGCTATCTTGCTTTCTGTATACGCAACTACGCGAGAGTTAGGTAATAGCCTACTCGTGCCTATGGAGTTCTACCGGGTGATCTGGTGCGAAGACACTGCGACCGAATTACGAGCCTCGACTTCCGGGATTTGCATTCTGTTTTGAAAGAACGGCGGCTCTTTCCAATCAGACTGATTACGCGCGAAAGCCGCAAGTTCCGTTTCAGGTTTTGGAATCGTTTCTAATAACTCGCGAAATAATACAGATTATGGATTACGCTATCGCATAGCGATCAAGTGCCAAGATATTTGATACTGGGTTTTTCGTTGATTATGAGAAAACTGCAAATGTACACAGTTGGAAAATTTATGTTGAATTTAACACATTTCACATGTTCCAAACGAGATCCTTTTAAATTTTTGTGTTAATTTAAAATGAATATGATAGAAAGTAACACAAATATTATGTTAAAAATTAATAGAAAAAACGTGATACTGACATAATTTGTAAGCGATTATATTTTTTCGTTTAAATTAATATTTATGAATATCTTAAATTATGTTTAAATATATTAAATTAACACATTTTGTTTA